TATTTATTTCTGTAAACAGTTATCTTTTAAAAAATCAACAATGATTTTATTAATGTGGAAACATAGATATAAATATGACTATAATTTAAAAGTATAGGGGCGAGATCAGGGCAAGGAATGTATTACCCATCCCTTCTCTAAAATCATATTGAGAAAAAGACCATCCTCAATCTTTTCTTTGATCAAGTCAAAGAATCTTCATTATAGCCTCGGGCGATTTTGCCATTTCTAAATGAAACCTTAAGGTAAAATTTCTCAGATTTCAAACCATCAAGGACTAAAGTATACTACTGCAAAATTGTATATCAATGTAAAGTAATTAAAATGATTATTCGTAGCTAGATAACCCTCTTCCCCCTTCCTTACATGGGGCTCATGTTGATAATACTGATAGTGAGCTTTTTTTTATAATTCTTAATGGTAAGCCTAGAGTTAAACTCTTTCCTACTTGAGTGATTACACATGGGCGATGCACTTTCTCCCTTCCTCTTTATTTTAGTAGTTTGTGTCCTTAGCAAGATGATTTGATGAGGGAACACAGAGGAATTCAATGGAGGATTTGCACATTGTATCAGTGTTTCACCAATCCAATTTTCTCCCATGAAGAAATTTTATCCTGAAAACTTTAATGATTTTTTAAACCAGTCTACTTCAAGTGAATCATTGTTAGATGATCTCAATTGTGACACATGAAACTTTGATGATTTTTAATATTTCAAATGTGTTTAATTGAAATCATTCTTCACGAGAGAAGTGTTGGGATAAGTTACAAATGTTGAACGTGTTTAGGATTTTTTTATTGTTGTTCGGAAGCTTTGGTTCAAATCTTTGGATGTGACAATTCTAATATCAATTATCTAGAATGAGTTGATCGCCACATATCGTGAGGATTTATTTTGTCTACAATTTGCAACATTATCAAGAATTTTCTACTTCCGTTTTAATTGATTTTGTTCCACGTCCTATTCATTTCTGTAGGAATTCCAAAAGGATATTGTTAAAGCAGGAGAAGTATTTACAGCCATAGGCTATAGGCATATTGAGACAGGTGAAAATTCTGCAATGACATTATGATTTGACTTTACATCACGCGGTAGAGATAATTTACCGTGTAAAATACAAGACTTGACCTAATGGCCATACTTATGTTTAAAAACTGTATTAACTCAACTTTATCAAAATTGGCTTTCATGGTTTCCTTCATGTTTATAATCCCCGTGTCTGTCAGGTAACAAGTTATCTGAGGATTGTTGCAACTATGGAGCTAATAATAACAATGAAAACATATTAGCAAAAGCTTCATCTATATATGGCGATGCTCGCAAGCATGTGGAGAAGGAACAGGAGGACTTGATCAAGCTTTTATCTTCACAGGTTGGTATGACTGCCGATTAATATTTTGTTTGCATCATTGCATTTATATAGAAACTTAACATCTTGAATGAGTTTGATGTTTTTTTTTTCTTTGCCTGAGCTGGCGAGTTGAGGATGATAATAGAATTTTAGTGATCATATTGTCTTCTTTTTGTCTATTCCACTTAAGTTGCTCTCTCGAGCTAATAGAAATGGAACCATTTGAAAATGGTTAGAAACATCCATCATGACCTTATGTCAACTTTAGCAAATCTTTTGAACCATTTCACCATATACGTGATTTTAGTTTATTAGCTGAATGAAAAGTTATAACTCGGTGAAATTTGTGGCTTTCTGTTGGTGCTTCTTTTTTCTTTTATTTGTTTTAGGCAACTGGAGCAGTTTATTAAGCTCCTATGACTCCTCAGATGAATCTCTTTTCCACCATTTTTTTTTTGTAAATTTTCTTGTCTTTTGCAATAACAAATTTGTTCCTTCCTAGTTTTTATTTATTAAATATTTTTATATTAAAAAAAAAAAAAAACTTAGAATATCGAAGCCATTAGGGATACTACTCGGTGAATTATTTCTTGGGGATTTTTTTTTTTTTTTTTTGTAAATTTTCTTGTCTTTTGCAATAACAAATTTGTTCCTTCCTAGTTTTTATTTATTAAATATTTTTATATTAAAAAAAAAAAAAAACTTAGAATATCGAAGCCATTAGGGATACTACTCGGTGAATTATTTCTTGGGGATTTTTTTTTTTTTTTTTTGTAAATTTTCTTGTCTTTTGCAATAACAAATTTGTTCCTTCCTAGTTTTTATTTATTAAATATTTTTATATTAAAAAAAAAAAAAAACTTAGAATATCGAAGCCATTAGGGATACTACTCGGTGAATTATTTCTTGGGGATTTTTTTTTTTTTTTTTTGTAAATTTTCTTGTCTTTTGCAATAACAAATTTGTTCCTTCCTAGTTTTTATTTATTAAATATTTTTATATTAAAAAAAAAAAAAAACTTAGAATATCGAAGCCATTAGGGATACTACTCGGTGAATTATTTCTTGGGGATTTTTTTTTTTTTTTTTTGTAAATTTTCTTGTCTTTTGCAATAACAAATTTGTTCCTTCCTAGTTTTTATTTATTAAATATTTTTATATTAAAAAAAAAAAAAAACTTAGAATATCGAAGCCATTAGGGATACTACTCGGTGAATTATTTCTTGGGGATTTTTTTTTTTTTTTTTTGTAAATTTTCTTGTCTTTTGCAATAACAAATTTGTTCCTTCCTAGTTTTTATTTATTAAATATTTTTATATTAAAAAAAAAAAAAAACTTAGAATATCGAAGCCATTAGGGATACTACTCGGTGAATTATTTCTTGGGGATTTTTTTTTTTTTTTTTTGTAAATTTTCTTGTCTTTTGCAATAACAAATTTGTTCCTTCCTAGTTTTTATTTATTAAATATTTTTATATTAAAAAAAAAAAAAAACTTAGAATATCGAAGCCATTAGGGATACTACTCGGTGAATTATTTCTTGGGGATTTTTTTTTTTTTTTTTTTTTTTTTTTGTAAATTTTCTTGTCTTTTGCAATAACAAAGTTGCTCTCTTGGTGAATTATCGAAGGCATTAAGGATACTACTTAGTGGACTGTTCCTTCTCAGTTTATTGAGGAAACCTACTTGGTGAATTATTTTGGCCCACTCCTTATCAATGGCATTAAGGATACCTTCCGCTAGAAATATGTCTATCTATCTATCTATCGAAGTTGGAAAACCATGCCCCAAAACGGTATTTATTAAGAATATTGAAAGAATGCACATCAGCACATGAGCAAACAAAAAAAAAGAATCAGCCCACCACACTTGATGCCTGAACAAAGAAACAAAAATTATCCAATTATCTCTCAAACCAAAAATGTCCATAAGATTGCTGGAAAGGTTGCCTTTTCTGGGGAGGTTATTCTGACAAACGGGTATTTGTGCAGTTTTATGGAGTTTGTGGGGAGAGCAATAATAGAACCTTTAGAATGATAGGGATTTTGGTGTTGTTTGGTCCCTTGTTAGGTTTTATGTCTCTTTATCAGTTTCAATGATGATGTTTTTTCATAATTACCTGTCATGTCTCATTTTACTGAAAATGAGTCTTGGTTTTTGAGGGTAAATTAATAAAAATACCCTTGAATTTTTGTACCTTGCCTCAAAAATACTAAAAAATACTCTTGATCTCTCTAAAGCTTCAAAAATACCCTTGAGCTCTCAAAAGCTTCAATAATACCCTTGAACTTTAAAAAAAGTTTAACAATACTATTACCGTTAGATTGGAAGCCTTTTGTGTGATTCCTCCTCTTTTGGCATAGCAACTCCTCATCCCTTTGACATTTAGATTGTTCTTCGTTTTTGTTAGTATATTTGCCTGATGTTTCTCATCAATTTTCTTTTATTGATGTAAATGAAATTGTCATGGTTTGCACTGACTTGTTTTTCCCTCTCTGGTGTATGTTTTTGTAATAATTAACAATTAATTTAACATGAAAATTGTTGATTTTTCAGATTTTAGATCCCTTGAGGGCAATGATTACTGGTCCTCCTCTAGAAGATGCTCGAAATCTTGCTCAACGTTATAGCCGAATGAGACAGGAAGCAGAATCACTGGTACTAAAAATTTCATCTTAATTCATCAACTGTATGCAGTAGCAAATCTTGTTTTTTATTTTATTTTTATAATTGTTTCTTTTCCCAATAGACCGTCATGTTTGGCTGTTTCTTGTGTTTGTAAATTTGTAAGTTTGTAAGTTGTATTGCCTTCTCAATTTCTATTCAGGCAGCAGAGATTTCCAGAAGACGAGCACGTGTTAGGGAATTCTCTAACCCCGAAAATGTTGCAAAGTTACATGCTTCAGAAGCAAAGATGCAGGAACTAAAAGCAAACATGGCAGTTCTTGGGAAGGAAGCTTCAGCTGCATTAGCCGCTGTTGAAGCACAGCAGCAGAGACTTACTTTGCAGAGGCTAGTTGCTATGGTGGGTATGAACTTGGTTTTAATTGGCTAAAATACAATGTAAAGCATGTAGTAGTTAGTTAATACTTGCTAGTTTAATGGTTGGAATGCTGCGATGAGTTTGATATCCATTATGATGCTGTTGCTTATTAAGGTTGAAGGTGAAAAGACATACCATCTTAGAGTAGCTGCTATCCTCGGGGAGGTCGAAACAGAGGTTAGTCTCTCGTGATATTTTTGCAACAGCGACCAGCCTAATTAATTTTATGCGTCTTTTTATTTTATTTTATTTTATTTTATTATTTTGTTCAGATGGTCACGGAGAAACAAAGAAAAGAGTCCGCTCCTCCTTTGATCTCATCAGAAAATCACCCAGAGAAATCATCATTCTTTTTGGCTGAAGTATGCTTTTCACTGGTCATTAGTATTCATCAGAATAAATAGATACTAACAGTTCCACTGTTTATTTTATTTTGAACTACTCTTTCTATCTTCTACCATGCACGAGAAACACAATTTATTTTTGGGTCCTGTGTATTGAGGATTGTTGGGAGGGAGTCCCACATTGACTAATTTAGGGAATGATCATGGATTTATAAGTAAGGAATATTGGTATGAGACCTTTTCGGAAAGCCCAAAGCAAAGCCAGGAGAGCCTATGCTCAAAGTGGACAATATCATACCATTGTGGAGAGTCGTGATTCCTAACGTGGTATCAGAGCCATGCTCTTAACTTGGCCATGCCCTTAACTTGGCCATACCAATAGAATCCTCAAATGTCGAACAAAGAAGTTGTGAGCCTCGAAGGTGTAGTCAAAAGTGACTCAAATGTCAATGTCGGACAAAGGGTGTACTTTGTTCGAGGACTCCAGAGAAGGAGTTGAGTTTTGATTAAGGAGAGGCTGTTCGAGGGCTCCATAGGCCTCAGGGAAGGCTCTATAGTGTACTTTGTTCGAGGGGAGAATTGTTGAGGATTATAATTTAGGGAATGATCATGGGTTTATAAGTAAGCAATACATCTCCATTGGTATGAAGTCTTTTGGGGAAGCCCAAAATAAAATCATGAGAGTTTATGCTCAAAGTGGACAATATCATACCATTGTAGAGAGTTGTGATTCCTAATACTGTGCAGAACACAATTTGTTTGTTGGTTCTTGAATTGTCCATAATGCCTTTCCAGGTTACTAGTTTACAGCCACCAAGAGGATGATTTAAGTTATTCTTGGGAGGGAAATTTGAATGTTAACCCATGCTGACTAGCGAATAAATTATCTTTGGGATCATCAGATCTGTAAAAACTGGATTGTCTCAAGTTATTGTGCTGTACTTTCTTTCATTCGGTTAGCTCTTTCAGCTGCCTGCTAGGTCGTGACTACTTCTTCAACTTTTATAGAGAAAAATAGAAATAAGCAAGCCGAGTCGATGTTTAAGGGGAACAAGAATAATTCTGGATGCGCTTGTAGCTCTGAACGAGTGAGATTGGTCCCACATGTAGTCTGCAGTGGTCTATTTGGTGACAAGTCTGGTGGATATTAACTAAATATTTTGCAATATCCATGATCTGTCCTTTTGTGCTGGTTAATCAAATTTATGTAATAATTGGTTCACTTGCAGTTGACATTGCTAAACCTTTTACTCTCATTTTCCTTAATATAACCTCATTCTTTTTCCCTGAACGGCTACTTAGATATGTAGTTTTATTAATTGTTCATAATTTATGAATCTCTTTTAATTTGTGTAGGCGGTGCATTCTTTTAGCGCTGCATCAGAGAAGGAACTGAGCTTGTCAGTTGGTGACTACGTTGTTGTGCGGAAGGTACTTTTTATCTCCTTGTGACAATTTTCTCAATTATTTGTTTCAAGTACGCATGTTGCAAATTTGGACGCCTAGGGAATATCATAAACTGTGACTAGAAAGATTAATAAAAGAGAGACATAATTGTTTGTTTTCAAGTTGTTTTTCATGGATTGATGGGTAAACTGAATAGATAGGCTATTGTATATTTCATGCGACATCCCACCTCGGTTGGGGAGGAGAACGAAACACCCTTTATAAGGGTGTAGAAACCTCTTCCTAGCAGACACGTTTTAAAAAATCTTGAGGGGAAATCCAAAAGGGAAATCCCAAAGAGAACAATATCTGCTAGCGGTGGGCCTGGACTGTTACAAATGTTATCAGAGTCAAACACCGGGCAATGTGCCAACGAGGAGGCTGTTCCCCGAAGGGGTTAGACATAAGGTGGTGTACCAGCAAGGACGCTGGGTCCCGAAGGGGGTGGATTTGGTGGGGGGTCCTACATCGATTGGAGAAAAGAACGAGAACGAGTGTCAGCGAGGACGCTGGGCCCTGAAAGGGGGTGGATTGTGATATCTCACATCGGTTGGGGAGGAGAACGAAACACCCAGGGTGTGGAAACCTCTCCCTGGCAGACGTGTTTTAAAAAAACCTTGAGGGGAAGCCCGAAAATGAAAGCCCAAAAAGGACAATATCTACCAGCGGTGGGTTTGGGCCGTTTTAAAACGTGTCTGCTAAGGAGAGGTTTCCACATTCTTATAAAGAATGCTTCGTTCCCCTCTCCAACCGACGTGAAATCTCATAATCCACTCCCCTTCAGGGCTCAACGTCCTCTCTGACACTCTTTCTCCTCTCCAATCGATGTGAGATCTCACAATCCAACCCCCTTCGGGGCCAGTGTCCTCGCTAGCACTCGTTCCTCTCTCCAATCGATGTTGGATCGACCTCCCTTCGGGGCTCAGCGTCCTCGCTGGTAGACCGTCCGCTGTCTGGCTCTGATACCATTTGTAACAGCCCAAACCCACCGCTAGCAGATATTACCCTCTTCGAGCTTTCCCTTATAGGCTTCCCTCAAGGTTTTAAAACACGCTGCTAGGAAGAGGTTTCCACACACTTATAAAGAATACTTCGTCCCCTTCTCCAACTGATGTGGGATCTCATAATCCATCCTCCTTCAAGGTCCGACCTTGAGTCCTCGCTGACCCTTGTTCCCCTCTTCAATCGACATGAGATCTCTGAACAGACATAATTTTGAAGATGAAAAGAAGTCTTGAGCACTCAACTTATTCCATGTCTCCGGTCTTTTATGCTATAGAGGAAAGTAAAACTCGTGGAATCTATTATATGTTCTGTAGCTTGAAAATCAGCATATTCATGCAGGTGAGTCCTTCAGGATGGTCAGAAGGAGAATGTAAAGGTAGAGCTGGTTGGTTTCCATCATCATATGTGGAGAAACGCCAGAGGATTCCCACTATGAACACGGTTCCTGAAGCGGTTTAATCCACATCTGAGTGCATATTCCATAGTCGGCTTCATTCAGGATGGTAAGCAGTATTGACCCAATTGTTCACATATATTGGGTTTTAATATCAATTAAATTTATGTATTCTTTTCTCAACATCATCGTTTAGATGTGTACTTGTGTATAGTTATTCTTTTTTTGGAAGAGAGATTATACCATTGCATGAACCGATTAAATTAGCGACATCGATTACTGTGATCTATGGTAACTTGTTTGTGTAATGTGTCTATTGTTATTTGGAGACCAATAACTTAGGCACATTTAGAATTTATATTGTTTTGTTGGGTCTGTCTTGAAATGAACTGAGAGGCTCGGAGGTTCGAACCCCGAGCACGTATATCATATTCTTATCATGAAATGAGTGGTGATGTAGTCGTATTCAACACCATGAGAGGGAAGATTTGTATGTCTTCTTATTGATTAGGACACTTGTCGAAGTGGTGACTCAAAAACCACCTAATGGAAGCTATATTTCGAAACTCGCGATTGGTATTACCCTATAGATAGACGAAGAAAATCATAACTATACTTTAACAATAATATACTTGGAAAAGACGGCTTATGTCGAAGTTTTTGGTTATTGTCGATAAATGTAGAAGTCCCACGGCTAACATACTTAGAGTGACAGACATCTTTAGGTTAGAATCGTTTGTCTCTTTTTCTTCGCTCTAACAAATGAAATCGATCATATTTTATATATCAGGAAAAAAAAAATACAATCAATTTTTGGTGAACTCAATCTACAATGTCTATCGTAATTTAATCTCTTATAAAGTTGAAGGTTCATGTAGCTTTCTTCATTGATACCATGTAAATTTCTTCTTTCCTTTTGAGAATACAAAATACAACTTCCAATAGAAATTTCATTGGGTAACATTTGGAATCCACTAGAATATGTGCCACATGCATTTCTCTAAAGGATGTCATAGGGGATGCAGGAATGTTGGGGCCATCGACTATATCATAGGAGATGTAAGGGAATGTTGGGGCCATCGACTATGTCATAGGAGATGTAAGGGAATGTTGGGGCCATCGACCATGTCGTAGGAGATGTAGGGATGTCGGGGCCATCGACCATGTCGTAGGAGATGTAGGAATGTCAGGGTCATCGACCATGTTGTAAGAGATCAAGAATGTTAGGGCCATCAACCATGTCGTAAGGGATGCAGGAATTTCAAGGCTATCAAATATCGAATAGATGGCCCTGGAATCTGAATTTTAAATCTTGGACACGAGTTAAATGTTATAACATAGTTTTCAACAACTTATTTATAGCAACAACAATGAATAAATAAATAATTGAGACCCGACAAGAATTAGATAAAGAAGGTAGTCTTTTGTCTCCATATTTGAGATTACACTTACCTTTAAATAAAGTTCTCTCTATCGCCTAATTCAATTAACGGCCGCCAGCAGGTTAATTTTGTTATTAACTTGAACAACAAAAAATATAATAATAATAATAATAATAATAATAATAATAATAACGGTTACGTCCACGTCAATTGGAAAGTGCAGCCCACGCGCCACTTGCAGCAAACAACTCACACGCCGTTGTCAATTGGAGCGAGTGGGGAAAAGATACGTCAAAACGCTGCGTTTTGGAAAGGGCGGGGGACTCGTTTTCAAAAGCAGACGAAACAGAGCCACCTCGGATAAGTTGAAAAACATTTTAAACAAAAAAACAATGCCATTTCCCTCTCTCTCTCTCTCTCTCTGTTGCTCTATCTGGGAAGTCGTGCGGTGGAACAAACCCCACTCTCGTCCCCTCACCGCTGATTCTTCAAACGCCATTTTTCCTTAAACCCCCCAAAATCTCCCCACTCCCTCTGTAAAATTTAGGGTTCAAAAACATGTCCTGTCTTTTCCAAGCTCAGATCCAGTCCAGCCATGGAGTTTTCTGCTCTTTTTTCGAGTTTACTAAGCGCCGGTTTATGCCTCGAAGGTAGTTTAGTTGATTCAATCGTTTTTTACGTTAGATTGTGTGGATTTATCATGCTTTTCGGCCAATGTCCTCTGTTTGAGAGCTGGGATTTGGTGATTTTGGAGGATTTGTTTGTAATTTTTGAGTTGTTTTGTTTGCGGTTTAACTGTTTGATTAAATGTCAGTGGGGTACGAACTGTTGTATGTCTTATGATTTATGTCTATCTACTGGTTTCTGGTTATATGATGATTTCTTTTATGTCTGTCATTGAGAGGAATATGGATTGCTAACTGATGGCTATGTGATTGTTTGGGAATTGGGATAAGTTTATCCAGCTTAGATTGTTTGGGAATAGACTATGGATTGCTAACATAGTCTATTGAATGGAATGTTACAAGAAACTTTTACTGGATTGTCTTGTCTGGTTGTCTGCATTTAGTGTCGTGAATCTTGGAGGCTTCCTTTCTAAAGGTGTTTGAGAGCACTGTGAATTTTCCTTGTTTCTTGTTAAGCCATGTGTTTCTTGGATAAGGTTGTGTTGTTTTCTACATTGGGTGAACCTGTAATTTTTTTTTTCGTCGTTGATATTTGTGAGTGTTTAACCTTTGATTGCTGAGAAAACTTGTGGAATATTAGATTCTAGATAGGTGGCTACCATGGATTAAACTCGTTCCATTCTAAGCTCTTTAGTTGAAAGTATGATTTTGAATCTTTTATAGGTTTTTTTTCGTGAGATCCCATGTTGGTTGGAGAGGGGAATGAAGCATTTCTTATTAGAGTGTGGAAACTTCTCTCTAGTAGACACGTTTAAAACCTTGAGGGGAAGTCCAAAGAGGACAATATCTGCTAGTGGTGGACTTGGACTATTACAAGTGGTATCAAAGCCAAACACTGAGCAGTGTGCCAGCGAGGACGTTGGGTCTCCAAGGGGGAGGATTGTGAGATCCTAAATTGGTTGGAGAGGAGAATGAAGCATTCCTCATAAGGGTGTGGAAACCTCCCCAGTAGACGCGTTTTAGAACCTTAGAAAAGCTGAATTAGCTCACTGCTACTTTTGAGCAATTATCTAATGGTTGATATTTGCCTTTAATACTTTTAGCTTGAGAAGGACTATTTTGGTTCTTCTTTAAAATGGTTTGCTGATAAAGTCGTTATTAAGGTCTTACATCGTTTCAAGGTATTTATGTTTCCAGCGAATTCTTTATGTGAGATCTCACGTCGGTTGGAGAGGGAATAAAACATTCTTTATAAGAGTGTGAAAATCTCTTCCTAGCAAACGCGTTTTAAAGCCTTGAGGTGAAGCCCGAAAGGGAAAACCTAAAAAGGATAATATATGCGAGCGGTGGGCTTGGGGTTTTATAAATGGTATTAGAGCCAGACACTGGACGAAGTGCCAGCGAGGACGCTGGGCACCCAAGGATGGTGGATTGGAGAGAAGAACGAAGCATTTCTTATAAGGGTGTGGAATCCTCTCCCTAGTAGACGCGTTTTAAAACCTTGAGGGAAATCTCGGAAGAAAAAGCCCAAGAGGACAATATTTGCTAGCACACTGCCTTCTTCCCCATTACTACTCTCCATGCTCAATCAACTGTTTCTGTAACCTCCCTCTTTTATGAACCTCAAATTCATTATGTTCGGTTCCGTGCTAGGTTGAGATACGGAAGCCATAGCTGCCGTAAGGTTCACGAAGCTTCAAATCGCTGTTCGTGAAGGATTTGCCCGACTCGAAAGGCACCGTAGGATTTTGTGCATTGAGGTTGGGAAGAGGGAATGAAGCAACTGGTCCGCTGAGCATAGTTGTGTATGTAATACATTGATATTTTGTAAATTGATCTGATCTCTTCAAATCAATTTGGTTAGTAGATTCAATTTTCAATTTCCATATCTTCATCTTTCAGCTTTTTCTTTGTCCATTGCCTTTCATTTTGCATGGATTTGGTAAATATTAAAATTTGAGTATCATCATCGTCCTAATGCATCACGATTCTACTATCGAGCAAGCTTGACTAGTTAGAAAGCTTCTCTGTCCACAACACGATCTTAAAGAGTTTTGACTTTATTAAGCGTTCGATGAGGTTGCTTCATCTATGAAACCGAGCATATTCATTGACATTTTGAGCTTCGATTTAAATGGGATCGCTCGTTTTAGCTACTTTATTAATAGATTTTGAAATTTTTGTTTTAGCTTGATTATTTATTAATTTCTATTTAAGAGTTAAAATCGTCACTTTTTATAAAATATAAGGACTAAAAATAAATATTATAAAACTAGGGTGTAGATGGTCTGAGTTGGTTAGATTGGTAATCCAACCCGAAACTTTTTACAACCCAGCTCAACCCTCTCTTCTCGGGTTGCGGGTTGGGTTCTTAAATTTTTTTAAAATTTTATTTATCCACAATTTATAATTATTCGGATACAATTTTAGATAAAATATATTA